CTCAAAATAAGATTCCCAAGGGATATGATGAAAGGCTAGAACCAACCATTCAGACAGGAAAGCCTGCAGGATGCAAACCGCGTTGCCAAAACACTAAAACCAGACTTCCAAAAGAATAGGTCTCAGAATCAGCAATCATAGTGGTGCAATATTAAGACATGTAGACCCCCAATTCTGCGACCATCCTTGCTCTTTTCATTGGCCTCAGGAGTAGTTCTTAAGAATCAGGGAAGCAAGGTGGCTTTTCTCTCACTGATTTCTTAAAGTAAGAACTGACTCTTTCAGGCTCACAGCAAGGGTTTGTCAAGCTCTGAGAGGATCAAATTCCTTCCTCTTGAAAACCAAGACAAGGGACCCCCTGGTGGAACTGCTAATGCTTGAAATACTCTTAACTTTAGTCTTAAAACGCTCACTACAGAAAACCAAATCATTTCGGGCTCTTCTTTTAAAGGTGCATATAAGCTTTGGGGTAACTGAAATTGGTTGGTGTACGGTTGATTTGTGGGGGCTGATGTTTTAAGCGCAGCCCTTCATCCCGCCGTTAAGTCTGGCTTATCCTCCCAGGAAAGGCGAGCGCACGGCGTTGAGCTACCAGCAAGCACATCCCCAGCCGGACCCCAGGACGGGACGGCCTGGCCCTTACCTGTCGATGCTGATCACGCACAGGGTCATGATCGAGGCCGTGCAGCACATAACGTCCATGGCGATGAAGACGTTGCAGAAAAAGTGGCCAAAGATCCACTTGCCCCCGATAAGGTCAGTGACGCTGACGAAGGGCATGACCGCCACAGCCACCGAGAGGTCGGCCAGCGCCAGGGACACGATCAGGTAGTTGGAGGGCTGGCGGAGCTTCTTGACGAAGCACACCGAGATCACCACCAGGCAGTTGCCGGCGATCGTCAGCAGCGTGATGAGCGTCAGGATGGAGCCGATCACAACTTTCTCGACTCTGCCGTAGTTGATCTGCTCCCCGCAGCCCGAGGCATTGTCCGGGGACGCGTCCCAGGAGGGCACAGGGCTGGCGGTTACCTCGGGGACCCCGCGCAGCAGGTGCGGAGCCCAGGAGCCCGCGACCAGGCCGGCGCCGTCGGGGCTCAGGTCCGGCAGCCCGCGCCCCACCTCTGGCAGGAGGAAAGAGCGCAGGTGCCCGTAGAGGTCCGGGCGGTCGCTGCTGTTAACGTCCATCATCGCGCCGCTGTGCGCTGC